CCCCCCCTTTTTTTTTTTTTTTTTTTTTTTACTGATTTCACAGAAGGAGAGCGAGATAGAAACATCAATGATGAGAAAGAATCATTGATCGGCTGCCTCCTATACGTCCCACACTGGGTATTGAGCCAGCAACCTGGGCATGTGCCCTGACCAGGAATTGAACCGTGACCTCCTGGTTCATAGATTGATGCTCAACCACTGAGCCACACTGGCTAGGCTGGCGACCTCTTTGTGCATGGGTCTACGCTCAACCTCTGACCCACAGCCGGGCAACTCGGCTGGACTTTAAATCTGCTCTCACACAGACGCCCAAGTTGGAGGCAGATGATTATTACACCCAGGGAAGACGCCTGAACAGACTTAGAGGTGGGCATACGCTTTATGGTGCGAGGAGGGGGCGGGGGGATTGAGCAGACCGACCAAAAATTCCCCTGAATGCAAGCTTTCCCGCCATCAGCAAGATGTTAGGTCGACGAAGGAGGAACGCACGAGGCCAGGGTGGGGAGGGATTATGAATTTATTCCATCACCCGCACACCAGGCGGCTGAGCCTGGCTGGCTCCAGCCCCCAGCGACGTGAGTGAGCGGCTTTTAAAGGACTTTTGGTGGGATTTTTTTCTGGGCGGAGACTCCTTTATGCAGACCCCGAGGGGAGAGAATGGAGTGTGGTCACCGCAATGAAATGTGGTCTCAGCAAACGGAAGGTCCACAGTGAAATGGCCTGAGAAGCCAGTCCCCGAGGGGGGTGGGGTATCAATTCAATTGCTCCATCCAACCTGACAGAGAAGGGGCGAGAAGCGTCACCCCAGAGAGAGGCAGTCCCAGTGGTTTCCAGCCCAACACGTGGTGGGACGACGCTCCAGACACAATTCCCACCAACAGGAAGCACTTCGGGGCCAGGGACACAGCGAGGGCAACGTAGTTTTGTTGAACTGACGTTTTGTGGCGAAATGTTCAAAACGTTTTAAAGCAAAAGGCCCCACAAACCAGAACATCTGGACCTGCATGTTGATTCAACCACTTCCTCTCTGGAGCCCAGAAACAGAGGCAGCAGAAGCAGCGAAGGCCGTGGTGTGCGGACGCCAGGACCGCTGGGTCACAGGCCGAGTCCCAGGACTCCCCGGGTGAGGCCACGGGGTGAGCACGCCCAGGGGGGCGAGGAGAACCCAGGAGACTGTAGACACGTGGTGAGCGTGATGTCGGCCACAGGTCACAGGCTGCCGTTCCCGGGGGCGTTCTGCAACCCGCAGCCCGGACACCACAGCTGCTGGAACATCTGTGGGAGCCCCTTGAGAGCCCGCTCAGATCCCCCCTCCTGTGTGCAGTGCCCCTGTGCCAGGTCTCTTCCCACAGGCCCTGTGGGTTTTGTGGTTAGTCCTAGACCTTACTGCCATGTTCGATTTCAGACGACCCGGCTTCGGAGCAACTCTGGGAACAGCTTCCTCTGACCAAGGCTGCGGACTGAGCAGCGTTCCCCGGCAACCAGGGCCCTGGGAACACGTGGGCCATCTGATCGCAGCTCCCCCATTCCTGATCCACCAGGAAACCTGACAGCCAGGCGACACGATTCACCACCAGGCCTTCGGGGTCTCCCCACAGGTCTCAGGTGCCTGTGAGCCAGACCGACCAATCAGAGCTGTGCCCTGCCTTCCTGCCGGCCCCCCCAGGCAGACGGAAGTCAGGGAGGCCGTTCCTCTGTTCATGAGCCCAATATCGTCCTTTATCCCCTCACACAGAGACCAGGATCCCCAGGATTAAAGGTGACAAG